TTCTAAGCACCACAGATAATAGTGGTAAGCAGCTCTACATTTGATTTCAGGGACTAACCATCCAGGAGTGAGAGAAAAGTCCTTCCCCAACCAGAAGGCTGTAATTGAGGCAAGCTGAGAAGGGACATGAATGCTATGCTAAGTGCCATCCAGGAGATAATATCTCTGTTGGAGAGTAGATGTAGAAACTGGCATCTGCTCAGTATGTAACAGTTGGCAAGTCTATTTCTCTGTTATTTTCTTTGTCTAGGAAAGGAAGATAATAATAACTTCCTCATTCACCTCACAGGGGTAGTATAAGGATCAAATGAAATCAAGGTATGTGAAAGAAATACTATGCAGGCATCAAGAACTATTATTAAGACTAGTTAATAATATAGGTGTCTGGGAGGATAGAGGAGGACTTGGGCATTGGGCAGTGATGCTTTGAGAACATAGTAAAATCTTTCATCCAGAGTGGAGCATCTGTATGAGTGAAACTAGTTTTAGTTAACAACATTTCTGAAAAATGGAATATATTGAAAGAAAAGTTACTCTTTTCCTTTCAAGTAAAATTTGCAGTGAGTGAGGAAATTGAAGAAGGGATTCCTAGAATAGTCAGGACTCCCTCTGGAGTGAGCAGACCAGAACATTGACTGCCAGAGAAGCAGGATGTGAGCCAGCGGTGGGACCGCAAAGGGAACTGAAGACACAGCCAGGGCACAAGGGGCTAAGGTACAAGCTCAAGAACAGTGAAGGCTCCTCAGCTGTTGGCCCAGCACTGGCCATTAGGCAACACTGTGGAGTCTTTCCTGAACTGATTTCCTCCAGGGAGTGGCTGGCTCATAGGAAGTTCACTTTTCCAGAAATAAAAACATGGTTCTTGGCAGTATTTTTACTTATTTTCGAAATCATACTTCCTGAAAGTGTGGTTCCAAGAGAGAAGAGGCCTGTTTCTAGGAGGCTTTGGGGGTTATCTGGCTTTCTGTGGACTCTGGGACCTCATAGGCCAATGCAATACATATTATGAGCCAAGACCATGGAATTCCACTAATTCAGCCCAAACTTCAGGGTTTATCCAAATATTGAAAGCATGCATAGGAAGTCTTCAATTTGGAAAAAAGTTCTCATTATAGATTGTTTTCCTCTAATTTGTAATAGTTTAAAAATCACAGTGAGGAGATTGACATCAGCAAGGTGGTAGAACAGGACTTTCTAGTATTTGTCCATTGCAAAAACACAAATTTGAACAAAAGTCAATGCATGGAAATACTTTCACAAAGGCTAATAAAACCAAGTGAGAGATTACAATACCTTGCTGTAAAATAGAATTAAGAAAAGATGCATTGGAGAGAGCAGGGAGGACAGTTTTACACTACCTCTAGCACCATTCCTAAAATCCCAAGCAGTAGAGCATGGAGAGAGATACCTTCCACTGAGGGAAGAAGAGAAAAGCAAGCACTAGACTTTGCTTTGAATCCCAATGCTGGGCCTTCCCAGCTAACTCAGTGCCAAGGAGACACCTAGAATCTAAGACTTCAGGCTAGTACTTGTGCACTAAACTTCCCAGCACAGCCTAGAGCCAGGTGGAATCCAAGAGCTCCAGATTCCATCCCAGTACCGGATCAGCCTCAGATTCGGGTTAAAGGCCACACACTCCAGGGCAAGCTCAGCCTCTGTGGACCCAGGTTTCAGGCTGGCTCTCATAGAAACAGGATGGATGTGAAACAGGGGGACATCTGTCACCCCATTGATTGCCAGCGTTGATTTGGCTGACATGGCCGGTGAGGCAGATGTCCTCTTCCTCCCTCACCTGTCCATGTGGGTTCCTTCCTCCCAAAGCTGCTCGCTCGGTGGAAGAGGACGACTACCCCCGATAGAGGAGGCCCATTTCCTCAGTCAAGCAGCTGTGCTCCCCTGCTAGAATCTCCAAACAAGCTCACATAGAAAAGGCACCAGAGTCACCATCACAGAGCCATGCTGTACAACTATCCTCTTAGATGAAATCAGCACACCCACCTCGGTGGATTCTGGTTCCTGGCCAAGCCCCCCCATGGATCCAAGCACCAAGCCCACTCATCTGCTGATCCAGGCATCAAGCTAGCCAGCCTGAGGACTTCAGCAGCAAGCCTGTCCACAGAAAATGCTAGACAGCTGCCCCAAATCTTTGAATCAGCAGCACATTAAAAGGATCTTTCATCACAGTTAAGTAGGAGGCAAGGATGGTTCAGTATATCCAAATCTATAAATGTGATATGCCATATGAATAGAACAAAGGACAAATATCATATGATGATATCAGTAGTTGAGAAAATACATTTGACAAAATGTAACATGCTTTCATGATACAAACTCTCAATAAATAAGTTATAAAAGGAATGCACCTCAACACAATAAAGATCAAACCAACAGCTAGTGTCACATTCAGTGGTGAAAAATCGAAAGCTTTTCCTCTAAGATCAGGAACAAGATAAAGATGCTGACTCTTGTCACTCCTATTTAACATAATGCAGGAAGACCTAGTCAGAGCAAGAGAGAGAAATAAAATCTATCCCATTCAGGAAGGAAGAACTTTAAATGTCCCTCCCTGCTTATTGAAAATATGATTATATATGGAAAATCCTTCCATGGGAAAAATTTAGAACTGACAAATGAATTCAATAAAGTTACTGGATAAAAATTTAACACAAAAATCAGTGGTATTTCTACACACTAATCATGAATTACAGTGGACCCTCAGATTATGACAGGTCTGATGAACAAACAACTTCAGTTACGACCAGAATTTAAGTTTTTAACTTACAAATAAACTCTTGAGTTACGACCTGAATGCTGGCCACTTGTGCCTCCAGATGGTCTCAGATACAGATTTAACCCTTAGAGAGTTCTGGAAGAAACATTACAGCATCCTTTCCTGCGTGAGGTTAACTGAGAATCCTGGGCCAAGTCTCTCTAAGGACACTGAGATCTGCCTGTACACAGGAGAGAGACTCTGAAGGGTGTGTAGAGGAGCCTGAGCCTTCAACTAACCAACTTGAGTTACAACCAGCCCTTGGCAGCAAATTGAGTTCATAAATCAAGGGTTCACACTACCTGAAAAAGAAGTCAATGAAGTAATCACAATAATTACTGTCCCCAAATACTGAAGAATAAATTTAACCAAGGAAGTAAAAGACCTGTATACTGAAAACTCTAAAACATTGATAAAAAAATTGCACTCATGGATTCAAAACATTACCATTGTTAAAATATTTATATTACTCAAAGCAATCTACAGATTTGACGCAATCTCTATCAGCATTTTAATGGCATTTTTTGAGCTGGGGTTATATCTTAGTGGTAGAGTGTTTGTTCAGCATGAATGAAGCTCTAGATTCAATCTCCAGCATCATGAACAACAATGAGCTCAACAACAACCACAAAAGTCAACAACATTTTTCACAGAAGTAAGAAAAACAATCCTAAAATTAAGATGTAATCATAAAATATCCCAAATAGATAAAACAATCTTGAGGAGAAAACAAAATAAACAAGCAAAAAACCAAAATGCAGGACTGTAGGCATCATACTACTTGACTTCAAAAGAAACTATTTTGCTATAGTAATCAAAAAAGCATGGTATAGTTATAAAAAGACATATGGTTCAAGGGAACAGAAAAGAATACAGAAGTAAACACACACTTATGAAAAATTGATTTTGACAATGTTACCAAGAACATGTAATGAGGAAAGGACAATTTCTTCAATAAATAGCATTGGGAAACCTGGATACCTACACACAAAGAATGAAATTGGACCCTTACCTCACATCACACAAAAATAAACTCAAAGTGAGTTAAAGACTTAAATGTAAGACTAGCAACTGTTAAAGAACTTGGAGAAAACATGGAGAAAAATTCTATGATATTGGACTGGATAATATTTTTTTAACATGAGCATAAAATTGCAGGAAACAAAAGCAAAAGTAAACAACTGGGATTACACTGAACTAAAAAGCTTCTGCACAGCAAAGGAAAAAATGTAATAAAGAGACAATTTATAGAACTGGAGAAATATTTGCAAGCCATACATCTGGTATTTGGCTAGCATCCAAAACATATAAGGAACAAAACCCAAACTCAATAGCAAGAAAATACACAACACAATTATAAATGGGCACTTATAATTAATATAAATAAATGACATTCACAAAAGAAAACATATAAGTGGCCAATGATAATACGAAAAATTCTCAATTTTACTAATCAGAGAAATGCAATTATAATGAGACATTGCCTTACAACTAACTGTTAGAATGGCTGTTATAAAAAAGATGAACAATAACAAGTGAACATTATACATTGGGAATGTTATAAAAGGGAACGTAATACATTGTTGGCCAGAATGTAGGTATAAATTAGTATAGCTTCATGGAATACAATGTGGACATTCCTTCCCACAATCACACTACTGGGCATATATTCAAAGGAACGGAAAACAGTATGTTGAGGAGAGGTCTATTCTCTTGTGTTGATAACAGCATTACTTACAGTAGCTAAGGTATGAAATCAACCTAAGTTCCCATCAGTGGATAAAAGAAAATTTGGTATATACATACAAAGGAATGCTAGACAGCCCTAAAAAGGAAAGCCTTGTCATTTGCAATAACATTGATACATCTGGAGGATGTTATGTAAATAAGGTCGATACAGCAGATGATTCTTACATGGAATATAAAAAAATTGAATGTTTAGAAGTAAAGAGTAGAATGATGGTTATTAGAGTCTGAGGGTTGAGAGGTTAGAGTGGTGGTAAAAGAATAGAAAATTTCAGTTAAATAGGACTAAGTTGAAGAGACCTATTGTACACTATCGTGGCTATATTTAGTAACAATGTATTATATTTTAATATGGCTTGCCACAAAACATTACAAAGTATGTGAGATAATGCATCTATTTGATAGGTCTCCCACCACCTCAGCAGCTATTAAGTATAGTAGCTGCCCTCTTCCTATGGTGCCTTGCCCCCTCCCCTGTGTGACATCATGCCAAGATGGTTGCTCCCACCAAAGAACAAACCCTTCTTCCCAGCATGCCCCTGTTCCAACCTAGACAGTAACCTAAT